GAAACGTACCTATTGAACCATCCCGAAGAATCTTGACTAACCACCAATATGAATTGCTGTCGTCGAGAAGCTGCATATGCTCTCCCTTGGTAGCATTCGCTTGACCCTCCACACTCGCTTGGAATGTATGCAAAGCATATACCATATCAAGGTCGATATCGTCTATTCCAGCCAACCCAATCCATTAGCCGACCACCCCACCCAAATCCAGGACACCACCACAGCCTTGCGCAGAAAATACACACCATCGGCGATACTGGGACTGCTGCTCATTCGATCCCCCATATCATCGTCGTCATCGTACCCGCCCTCATCCCCTGTGAGGCTCTCTGATCCAGCAAGGTCCCTGTCCACCTCATCCTCCTCCTGTAAAGTACCAGCTTTTTCCTCCTCCTCCGCGCTTCTCAATGTATTACTCTGGTGGGGTGCGAATCCCTGTGCATCCCTTTGTTCGTCTGGGGCATTGGTGTGATCCGCGGCTGAGGCCTTTTCACGAGGTTGTAGATCGAGCGTGTCTGTGGGTGATAAGAATCGTTTAGCGGCGTTTACAAAGGAAACCATTGCTCTTCCTCGAGAAACAGCAGGCGGTGAACGCTGCCGAGATCGCTTGTAAGGCGAAGACGAAGTGAGATGGGTGGGATGGGGCTGCCGACATGCGGTCATAGTAGAGGAAGGAGGAGCTCTGCTCGCTCTTCGAATGCTCATGGTAAAGATAAAGAATGGAGAAGGGAATAGAGAAGGAAAGGGTCAAATTGAGAGAGACGACGGACTTACCAGCTCGTACAATCTGAGGTCGGGTCATGGCTCACACAGAAGGTGGGGGAAAGGCTGTGAATATAATATGGATATGGCCGAGTGCAAGAAAGTAGTAAAGTCCGAATGTATGTAATGTATGTAAAGCACGTTATGCACCACCCTCGAATCAAAAAAGCAGAGTAAATAATAAGAATAGAATGTTGAATATGGAATCAAAAACGGGCCCAATAGCTACAGGTACCAGAACACAGTGCGAATGGGAATGTGAAAAGATCGGAAGAATCTCATGTGCTGTTCGGCAGGCAGCAAGAGCAAGGACAACGTTCGTGGTGCACGCGTGACGAGGCTGTCTATAGCACTGGCTGGCTAGTTGGCTACTACTTGAATTATTTGGAAGAGATCTAGGGGAAGGGGGGTAATGGTGTTTTTTTTGTTTTTTTTGTTTTTTATGGGGGTGAATAAGAGCCAGGGTAAGAAGCCGAGTCAAGAAACGAATGCGTGTATCCTGCCTGCCTGGCCTGGCTGGCTATAGATGCGAGTGGTTGCGTGTGAGGCGTGAAGGGGGGCGTGGTAGTGGTAGGGTAAGGTTGTGTATTCCTCGCTCCCTCGATGATGTCCAGGCAGGGTTGAATAGGCCGTGGAGGGGGGTGTAAAGAGGGTTGGAGGGGGGTGCGCGTATGTGTGGACGAACGAGGGTATGATAATCGGTCCAGTGGGGATACAGACCTCACCGTTCACTGAAGCAGGAGTCGATGGACTGGGACAGACAGAGAGAGTAGACGAAACAGAGGTGAGGTGAAAGTGAGGCGGGTAAAGCAAAGCAGCGGAGCACCAAGAAAGCAACCAAAGCAAAAACCCCCGAATTGAGTGAGAGCTAAAAAAGAAAAAGCCACCCCTTACCCAAATAGATGGCCTTATTTAGGGGTGGTCAGGGCGAGCGAGCAGTTGTATGGTGAGTGAGAGCTGAGAGATGCAGCAGGAGACCCATGTCAATGCAGCGCATAGCAACTAACCCAGGAACACTAAGCATCGTGTAGAGTAGAGCGTAGATACTTTGAGCAATTGCTACTCTAGTTAGATCATAGAGCGCAGTTAAAGCGAGATATGTACAGCCAAAGTCCCCCCAACCAGGTGAGAATCAGCAATCAACAACCAACCCAAGGAAAGAATTTACCACTCGGCAAAAAAAAAAAAAGGATGTGTGGGAGTTGCAAGACATCTTTACAACCTTTACCTTACCCCGGACCTCACCGGTAAACAACCGAACGAACGAAATAATCTCCAGAGCTCCCTCAAAAGTTTGAATTCGGTCTATGGACAACACCCGACGATCGTCCGCCAGTAAAAACAGACAGAACGCTCCCGTCAGAGTCGAACCGTTACCCGTATTTTTAGAGACACCCGCGGACATATCATCGCTGACTCTTGGTTCCTTTTCTATGTCTGCACTCTATCGTCATCTAATGGCCCACTTGGATTAGGAATGTCGGTATTTTTGGTTATCTATTCGCCACCCGATAGCAGGAATGCAGGGACGAAGCGAGTCCTAAAGTGAGGGGAAAGGTTAAGTCCATTGCAAAAAGAAACAAGGAGAGGCAGGGCAGCAAGACTTGCAGAATTGAAGAAGAATTCGCCATAGAGCGTTAACGTGGTCACTGTTGTGTCGCTTGTGTGGGAAACCTACCGTAGATTCCTTCTTGCAATTGTCTCTCCCGACGGCGGCGGCAGCGGCTTAGCATGGTCCATTATGTAGGGCATGATTCCGCCATCCTCTCGACATACTTGCTCGCCTTGCCAATCTTTGTTCGTCATTCCTGCGGGAAGGAGAAAAAGAAGAAGTTGACATTCGTTGAGTGCTTTACGTACATAGTCAGTCTGAGGTCTTTGAAGATCGTCAACTTTAAAACTGCACGAAAGGTATCTCTGCACGACAGAGAAGCGTAAAGTGGAGTACATACATAAAAAAGTAAAGTAGATACACACCCTACCCAGATAGATATCAGTAAGTAGAGTACATATGGGTACATGTAGGTACATACCTGGCACAGAGGAGACACCACCTGGTAGGTACTCGTATCCAGATCAAAAGCCATAAAACAAAAATAAAGGAAGCCCGGTCCCCAGTTCACCCCGTCAAGCCACCCCGCCAGAGTCAAGACCAACGGTTAGCATTCCGAGTACCGGGCGGGCCGCTTCGTGGTTAAGGAGTGGTGAACTTTCGAGATAAACTCAGCCAAATCGTTTGTCGGACCATCTCCCTTTTGAAGATGACGTCTCCGTTCCTAACAATTTTATATCTTAGTCTCAGCTCAATTACCGAACTAACTGCATGATGGTGGTGTATCGCGATAGTTAGTTATCAGATCACCCGCGACTCCGCGAAAATAGTACGAGCACATCACAGAAAGGGAAACGGCCTTAGACCCTTGCCAATCGTTTCCACTTCAAGTTTATAGGGTCCCTGGACCTTTCAGGTTGAAACGGAAACGAATCAGTCGATCTAGGCTCTACGCGAGCTATCCTCACCTTCGCCGCACATCCTTCTTCCTCGTTGGGTCTCCATGGACCCCCACACTTTCGCCCCGGGGATGGCGTTCTGTTTCGCCGGTGCAGTGATTTCCCTTTTTGTTTTTTGTTTTCCTTTTCTTTTGGTGTTTCCCCTTCCCCAAACTTTTGTTTTTTTTGCTTTTTATTAAAGTTTTACATTTCTGGATGTGATTCTTCCAAGTTTCTCTCCCTGGAACCACACCTCTTTACTCTAATTATTTATTTTACTCTTTACAGATTCCGCAGTAGATTTCCGAATTCGCACACCACCATATGCACACAGACGCTCTGCCCCGCGAACGGCCAGCCAACCATGATTGGCGTCGTCCCACCGTACCGCCATTATTTCGTTTTCCGTGACGCACGTGCAGCTTTAAATTTTTCATCAATCGTGGGGTTGACCTGGGTGTGGGGCTTGGTATTGAGTGAGTACCGGTACTGTAACTTCAGAAACCGCGTTAGTAGGGGTATGTAGAGCACCTAAAGTTCTCACTTCAGGTGAGAGACACACCGTAAGCCAAGCCTGTATGTACCTCCTTCGATCTCCCGGACTGAATTAAGGCGGGATCTTGGAAAATTATTATTTTATTATTTTCTCTTTAACTCATTCCATCCTACATCCGGCGGGGGCCTTGACATTTCATTAGAGCCAGATGTAGGGGGAGCCGGAGGAGAAGGGTTCGAATCTCTGTCTCTGCTCAGCTCATCTGTTACGATATTGTGGATTTTCTTTTCTTGTTCTGTCACTTCATCTTGTAACTGCAGTCTCCCCATCGACCATCGGATCATCTGTTTCGATTTATTCCTTTCTGATTGATTGTCTGCGGACCGCCAAGTATCTCTCCTTCGTGTGTGCGCGTCCATCATCTTGTTCCGATTTACCATTCCCTTCCCAGTTGACTGTCTGTCTGAGGCCACCACTCCAATTCATACCACCATCATTTCTGCCCACTGCAGCAGTAGCTAAGCAGCACCACTCATAATTCACAGTAGGCCATCTTTTCAACGCTACCGTTACATAAAAGATTCACTACATAACTTCTGTCTTTCCCACACTTATCGTGCCCTCCCGATTTTTCCCATCCCCACCCCCCCCCCCCCCCCCCCCCAGACGGTTATCTAGTTCTAGTTTGCCTCAGTCGGTGTCAGTTCTACATAATTCTACATAAGAACTCTGCTCTGTGTCGTTCACGATACATATAACGGCCGCTCGCCCCCCTTCCCTCGAGTCCGTGATCTTTTAGCGACCCCATATTATCGTAGAATTTAGCCTTCCCCAAGCCCATTATCATCAGCCATTGTCGATCTATCAATCATCGTCACTTCCAGTTTCACTAGCTAGGACGCAACCAGAGCCCACAGCCCACATTCTCTCAGATTTCACACAACCACCTAGCCTCCTCACGCATCCATACCATCATCGTGCTGCCTGCGGTTAAATCCCTGCTGCCCTACCTGCACGTCAAACCACACCAAGCAACAAGCAGCAAGCCATAGTATCCCACTCACCTTCCCTATTATTTATACTCCGCCCAAGTTCTCCGCAAAAAACTTCTCTCTCCTCGATACACACACCAAAAATTACCGAGAAAACAAAAACCCAAACTCTCTTTCTTCCCATCAACACCAACAACCTTTCCACTTACACAAGCAACGCACTACAGCAGGTACCAGTGCAGAGTCCTTCTGCACATGCGATGGACCGTGGGTTGAATGTTCACACAAAGTTTGCTAGGTTGAAGATTGATTCTGTTCCCCGAACCGGCCACCTCAACGATTCGGCTTTCTCTTCACGCAATGGTTCTTCTTCGGGCAGTCACAGTCACGGCCATAGTGCTCCCATCCCGATGCAGCCACACGCTATTCCCATTCCTAGGCTAGAGCTTGATCACCACCATGATTCACTTGACATGGACATGAATGGCAGCAGCAGCTACAAGCGTTCTGGTGGATTTATGGAGCAGGCAAACCGTCAAAGTATGAATAATAGTCCTTCGGGCAGTTATAAACCCTCTACTGCTGGATTTATGGAGCAAGCGAACCGTCAGAGTAACCTTTCCGGTAGCTACAAGCCCTCTGGTGGATTCATGGAGCAGGCGAATCGTCAGAGCATGAATAAAAGCCCTGGGCCTACCGGCGGATTTATGGAGCACGCGAATCGCCAAAGAAAGTCGTCCATCTCCTTTGACCCCCAAGTCAAAACAGATAGCGGCAAACAAATTCCGTTGCAGGGCCAGGCACCAAGAGCAATCAATGTTGAGGGCACATCGAAGAAGCCATACATTCAGCAGCGTGCACCAGCTCGTGCTTACACCTGGTCCGAGCAGGATTTACAGGCGAGTCAAGGAAGCTCTCTCCGGTACCAGGGTGGTCAGTTTGGATACGGTGACGGAAACGGATCAATCCGTCGCAGGCAGCGAGATGCGTGTAGTCCCGGAGGAACTGATCAGATGTCTTCATTGACTTCTGACTCGACTATGTCACCCATGTCGGAAGACTTGCGGACGCCGCCCCCTACAGCAGATCCATTCGGTCTCTTTTTCCCATCATCAATTGCTAGCTCCCCGCTGAACGAGAACGAACAAGACAACACCTGTTGGTCTTCGCCGAGAAGATTCAGTACCTCTACCAGGAACAAGTCTTATTCATCATTGGACGGAGGGGCCCGGTCACGATCAAGGAGGAATAGTGTCCGCTCTGCAAGCCCTAGATTTGGTGACGGGTCTAGTCAGCTAAGCCCTGCGAATATGGTAGGTTCATTTCATTCAGTGGGTGAGTTCTTTCTGAGATTCGTCAAAGCCGCTAACAATTTCACTAGTTCTTGAACAATTTCAATACAGTTAGTGCGCAACCCGCTGAGCCTGACTCAGAAGGCCAAGAAGTCGGCTCCTACGTTCTAGGCAAGCAGATCGGATTTGGTGGCTTTAGCGTAGTCAAGGAGGCTATCACTATTGAGGGCGGAATTGAGGTTACACGCGCGGTTAAAATCGTGCGTAAGAAGGCCCGTGATGTTGATTGTGAAAACGACCAGATTCAAGCTGAATTCGACCAAGAAGTCTCACTTTGGAGATGCCTTTCTCACCCCAACATCTTGCCATTGATTGCGGTTTATGATACTCCATTCGCAACCTTCGCATTCACGCGATTAAACGAAGGTGGAACCCTACATGATCTCATTAAATTGAATCGTAACGGGCTCTCGGCCAAATTAGCACAGAAACACGCTTTCCAGCTTGCCCTCGCATTGAGGTACCTCCACGAAGACATGCGCGTGATTCACCGAGATGTCAAGCTTGAGAATTGCCTCATTGATATGACGGTAGATCCAGATGAGGGTGGAAATCTTCAACTTTGTGACTTTGGAATGGCCGAATTCATGAAATCAAACCATGATGAAGAGGACGATGACAGTGATAGCAGCGGGAACGCATTCACACTCGACCCGCGCCCTGGACGCCGATCCAGGCGGAAGTCTTCATCTGCATCCTCAATGGCACCAGTCATCTCATCTACCCTGGTTGGGTCGCTCGAATATGCAGCACCAGAGATCTTATCTAACAAGAACTCCATGACGCACTACACCACAGCAGTGGATATGTGGGCATTTGGCGTGGTGGTGTATGCACTTTTTGTTGGAAGTTTGCCGTTCAGTCATTCCTTCCAGCCAAAGGTGCAAAGCATGATCTTGTCAGGAGAATGGGATGTTGATGCATTGAAGGGATGCAGAGGGTTGGTCGGCCTTGACAAAGAATCGAGGAAGAACGTGTTGGAGGTCGTGAAGGGTTGCTTGACCATGAACGTGGAGGACAGATGGGACATCCGGGCGGTGTTGGAGAGTCAGTGGTTTGAGGAGTTTGGGGTTGAGAGCCCCTAATTGCCCTAATTGCCTCAAGCACTGGGAAACTTGGCTCTTCGTGAGAGTGCGGCCTAACACAAACCAGCCCCCCTCCCCACTCCACCCAGGAATCAGTTTTATTATTTATTTTTCATTTATCTTCACACAAAATTTTGTAGCGACTTGCCTTGGGTGTTTTTATTCTTTTTTACTATGGGACAGGATCGGATTGGAATGGGCCGGATTAACAAAAATACTCAAAATGGACTGGAATGGAATGGTTGTAGGTTGTTGGTGCGGATTGATTTTTTGCTCTGCTTTTTTTTGGCGTCTGATATTTTCTTTCTTTTGGTCATTTTCCGGGGTGCAGAGGGCGGTATCTAAAAATTTGTTCGGTTTGTTTTTTGGGGTGCTTCATAGCGGATGGTTCTAGGGATATCTTCTTGTGTTTACCTTTATCTTTTTGATCTATTTGGCCATAAAAGGCCCCCTTTTCCTTGATCGTCTTCCCTACTCTTCTATTCTATTCTTCTATTTACTCCATACCTTTGGTCTTCTACTTACATACTTCCATACATCACTCCTCACTCGTTTATTCACTATTGTTTTATATGTTTCCTATATTCTTTCAAAGTGGGCGGTGGGGCGCGGGCGGAGTTCTTTTTTGCGCTCGTCAAATTCATCTGCATGCAGGCGCGTTTCTGTTGGTTCACTTCACTTCCCTATCTTGAATCCTACGCTGGGCTGGCTAGCAAGCTATGTAGCTTTTGCTGTTCTTGGAATCAAAATAGCGGGATTTGTGCTCTGTAGACTCGACGTCTCTTTTTTTTGGAGTTTTTCATTTTTTACTGCATCCAAAAAATATAAATAAATATAGCCATTTTGAGATTACGTCCGTTCTTTGCTTTTTTGTCTCACCGGATGTGGTCTCATATCTGATCTGTCCCGAAATAGCTGTAAAAGATGGTAGAGTATGTGTGTGTGTAACTACTCCATGGGGTGGAATGGTAAGATTCTGCACTTGCACTTTTATGCCTTTCCCGCGGGTTCGCAGAGCACAGAATGTTGCATAGTCCCGAACACACAGGTACGCAGAGAAGTAGGCAGGTATTACGAGCGTAGTACTGCATGTATGTACATGTAGGTACTCCAAAGGCGAGCATGTACCTTCAGGTTCCGACAACTTAGTTTATCAGGTGACCCCATATACATGTCGGAGAACGTGTGTAGGTACATATGCCCTCGATAATTAAACACTGGCGCTCATCAATCATGTGCTTCATAAGCTATCACTCGACTCTGGTTGCTTGCATGCTGCACCCACGGGCTGATATTGATGATTGATAATCTGCACCCACGGGCGACGCTGCTAAATGTAGTACAAAAAAGAACTAAGTATTATTACAGTACGTACATGTGAGTAAGACCATTGGTGCAGATATATACACTTTGAGAGGGTGCATGGCGTGGGGTGTTGAGTAATAATTTGTGCTGTTTGCGCCGCAGTAATGAGGGCGAAGGTTACTGGCTCGCCGGCTAACTGGCTATCTAAGACATAAATGCCTGTAGCTTCAGGCCATGCCACGATCTCGATGGTTGAGGAACTGGGGTTAAAAGCCGCATTATATGGGGGCACCCATGCATGGCATATATATGTCTAGTGAGAGAACTGGATATGTGTACGCATTGCGAAAGTACAAACGGCTTACTAGCGCTAGGCTTTAGAGCTTTGTGATCTTTGGGGGGGCACAGAACATTAATTGCTATCACGGAAAATATAACACAGAATCTCGTGCAGCCCGCGGCTCCCCTTTGGGTCTCTCAACGGCCACAAATAAAAATACGATTCTTTTAAACGTTCACTTAGTAGGATTCCAGTGAATACTAGAGTAGTGTATGATATCGTAAACGACCTTTTTTTTTTAACGTGGGTTTTATCAGTACGTACTATATCACTCGCGTTACACTGCATTTCGTAATCTTGAGATTTTGCCACAGGTGAAATTTTAGTATCGATAAATCGACGATCACTTGCATCGGGCATAGAAAGTTGTAGTATATTAGTTAGCCGCATTTGTTCAGTTTATTTATTTACACGGTGTCCAATGGTGGGGCACGATAAGGTTTACCTAGAAGCTGCCCTGCTACGCTGGTGGAGTACGAGGTCTTCAGTACAACGTTAGTCTCGTAATCCTAGGATATTTAATTCACACATCTCATAGTTCCACATATCAACAATGTATTTGGTATTTGAAGCTAAAAACTACGCTATTTGCTGTAACTGGGATGCTAACTTGGTTATGCTGAAAGAGAGAATTAAACGTGTACGTGTGCTCCAACGCTTTTTAGTTGCCAGTATTCTCCTCTGCTGACCTCACTCGAGCTGGTGCAACAAAATTAACCACACTGTATAAATACGAGAGATCTCTACCCGGGCCCTCTACAAGAAGAGAGCATAAAAGGTAAATGGAAGGGGAAAACTCTCACTCAATTACTCGGACTGAGCCCAGAAACTAAGTGAAACCTGTACTCCCTCCATGAGGAAAGAGTACAAGAAGCGAAGGAAAGGATGGAGAGACCTAACACAACTCAGGCCTCTCCTGATCCCTGGGATTGACCCAAGAATCAGGAGAGGCCAACGAAGAGACTTAACGTAACTCAGGCCCCTCCCAGCCCCTGGGTAGAAAGCCCAGGAACCAAGAGAGGCCGAGAGGAGAGCCAACGTGACTTAAGCCACTCCCAACACCCGCTCGTGCGGGTGTCGGGAGTGGCATAGCAGAGGCGAATGGTTTGGTCCCCCTTGTCGGGGACAAACCAGGGGCGGGGGCGGGGCTTCTTGGAGAGAGTGGGGAGCCTCTAGGAGAGCGGGGGAGAGGGCCTCCGGCCAGAGGGGCAACTCGACAGACATCCCATGGCCAACACGAGGCCAAAAAACCACCTGCCTGCCTGCTTGAAGAGAATGGGAGGAGGAGGTAGGTAGTGACACACAAGAGGTTCATCTAAGAGCTACCTACTCCCTAAGGAAAGAAAGGGTTGAAGTGGAGAAAGCTGGCCTTATATAACAGCTGGGAGCCGGGGCCAAGCTCCGAATTATCACAATTCTTCGCGACAGGTAGGACGTAGGGCCTCCTACCCTAGAGGGTTAGAAGTAGGGACTACAAACGACAAGTAGCTGGGTGTATGTATATATACCGATAGTTCAGACCATGCCTTAACCAATGGATCTATGTGGGTATTTCTCGATCATGACGAGGAACACTATACCGTTCAGATATTATGACTACAGTATAATCTCGCTATAAGAAATTTGACAGCGAAATCAAGATATATCCTTATACGAAAAGTGAGTGATAGTTCATGATAGTTCACGATCTTCGGATGGGTGAAGGCGTGCAGGTGGGTGGTCAGATCCGGTTAAAAAAGAGGTAACAGTTATAAGTGTTCGATGAGAACATAGGGTCTGAGAAGGTAGAAAAAATAAAGAAGTAGGGTCAATTGTCGAGTGATAATCCATGACTGGATATTATCTAGCATTCATTGCCAATTCCGGCAATGGGCCGAGATCTCCCTTAATTGAGTGGGCATTCATGGTGATTCATCACTCGGAGCTAGGGCCCCCCTATTTGTCACTCATATTGTACTATTTTATCAAATCAGGCAAGACCTCTCATACGCTGAGGGGTAAAGGACCGCGGCTAGACTCGATGAGAGGATGGGTCAATGGCAGTCACTAGATAACTTCAAGGGGAAGGCTAATTCGAGAACTCTTGGTATCAACATGAGTAATTGACTTTGGCGAATCGCTAATCCGTAATATATTCCCTGTTCGATCGTTAATGACGTATCGAGACAGGGAAAAATGACTGTTACGAGTGATCTTCTGTGAACAACACACCACATCGGCCCCCCACCCTTGAAAGCACTCAACAACCCGACACGTACACACTCACAATATCATCGTCAGTCTAGTAATCACTCCCGGGCATACTAACACTGCAGCCATGCAGAGGAGACAACCGCAAAAAGACTTAGCACCACACCCGCTTTGACCATGCTTCCTTTCCTTCTGCCGGCCAGACTGGCGATCGAGAATGAGATCCATCGTTCACCATCACAATGACAGACCCTTTATCGTAATAACAACTAGTCACTACGCTCTGGCTAATCCGAGATATCTGTTTCCGCGGGCAAACGAAGTTTAGCAGCCCCTCCCTCCCTCAACTCAGGGCATCACGAGCACAGCAGGGCTTCTATAGCGCTAGGCATGTGATGCGCTTGATTACCACACACTTAGGGGGGCAGCAAGAGACCTGAGGTGACGCCGAACCATGATGGTGAAAGGGCGGCCCATATATGTCGCATGGAATAGATTGCGCGGAAGCTTCGGAGACTGGCGGGATGTCAATGATCGATTTTAAAACATCCATATGTGTATGGCATCCGGGCTACAAGGCTGTGGGAAAATTTGGCTTTTACGCGGTTTCCCTTTTGGGGAGATACCAGGTGTTCAATGGCTCTATTTGACGTCCCTTACTACGCTGCTTATACGCCACGCTCGTGCAATGAGCGGATGAGGACTCTATTTCCCGCACAATAAGAGATACTGGGGTCTTGGTTCTCCAAAACCATGGTTTTTCACAACACAAACAACTGCAGGACCGAAAATCAATTTTTATTAAAGAAAGAAAGAAGGAAGAAAGAAAAGAAAAGAGAATTTTTTTCCCCACAACGAAACGAACGCCTACCAACGCCGTTACCCAGAGCAGCATCCCACCACTTTCTACGCCACCACATCCACCGCCGCCCCCTTGACGGCCTCCACCTCGCCCTCAATCTTCTCATTCAACACACTCCAATCATCCTACCCACACGCATTAATTAGCACCCTTCCCCACACCCCAAACCCCGCACACCCACAAACAAGCACTCGGAACGGAAACTAACCCTCCTATCCTTCACCACCTTCCCCCTCTTCATACTATCCCCACGCTTCTTATCCAGCCTCTCCATCACGGCCTCCGCCTTTCCGACCGCCTTCTCCATGCGCTCCTTCTGGCGCCTACTCGCCTCCTTACCCCCGCGCTTCCTCTTCTTGACGCCGCTGTCGCCCAGCGTGGCGCGCAGCACGGCGTCGCCAACCTTCTTGGCGGTCGCCTCTTTGTTGGTCAACACGGGGTCGTCGGAGGCCCTGGGCAGCGTTGCGAGCGATTTGTCGAGGCCGAGGGAGGGCGAGGCTTGACGGCGAGCGGCGCGGGTGCGGTCAGAGGGCGCTGTTGCGTTGGTGGGTGGGTTAGCAGTGCTGCGCTGGAGAGTGTGGGGGAAGTGGGGAGGGGTACCTTTTTGCTTGGGTTTGTTAATTCTGCCCATTTTGACTTTTGTGGTTGTGGTTTTGGTGGTTGTGAATTCTGGGGTGAAAGTGGATGGTCGAGAAAAATATTTAAAATTCTGATAGTGATATCAGAATGCGGTTAACTACAGGCCGGGTAACCAGGTGCTTGTGGGAGAGCTAGCCTGGTAAGGCACGCAGGCACCATCGATCATCAACTGTCATTCGGTGTACGCCCGCCAAGTACCTGCTCGTAATATTTAACATTGGACGGGACCCGTCGACATATAAAAAAAACGTATGTACTTTTGAATAACACCTTCCATTTCGTCCATATCGCTTGAAAAAACACTACATAATATGAGTGAATACATAATAAAAAAAAAGAGTAGTACAATGATCATGAATGATGCTCCCCGCGCTCCGGATCTCCCCAACTCCACTACAAACTGCTCACCGATCCCCCCATTTTGCGACCCTAACACTGCACAAATACACACCCAACCAATTCCTTTCCCCTTCCTTTCCGGCCCAGAAAAACCCCACAACAAAAGAAAAGAAGAAAAAAAACAAAGAAAAGAAACTCAAGAAGAAGGTCCACAAGATAAGTAAGTAGATCCCCTCCCCCCTATCACTGCAGAAGCTCTGGTTTCAAAGAGCGAGGAAGGTTCTAACATAGCCATTTGTAGGCAAAGAAGCGCTATGATTCGCAATGAAAAGATTGGTTGGTTTTGTGTGTGACTGATTAAGGGTGAGTTTGAGATGCTGGGAATTTCCCTGCAGCCACATCCCATCCCGCCCGTGTGGTGGTTATTGTTGATACGTGTTGTGCCGAAGTCCCAAAGAAAGAGCAAGAAGCGAGCAAGGGTATAAAGACAGAGAAAAAGAGAGGATAGGAAGTAGTTTATTTCCTACATTCCCCGCGCTCTTCCTAGTCCCGTCGGATGTATTCCTTGGTGTTGGTGCTGCTGGTGATAGTGACGTGTTCTTCCGACAGGGACTTCTTCTCCTGGTACAACTTCGGGGGTGTTAGCCAACCACCTTGTCTCCACGCTCCAGGGTCCAGGGTCAAAGCCTGGGGGTAACAAGTTAACGAACCTTTCTCTTCTTGAGCGCCGCAATCCTCTTCTTCTTAGTCATCGAGTTGATGTACGTCCCAATCACGAACGCGACCAGGTTGAAGAACGGCACCCAGGCGTGGGGCGGCAAGAATTTCTGCGCAAACAATAGCGCGAGCGGGCTAGTGCACCACGACACCTTCATGACGGGCAAGAACCCTGCCTTGACCGTTGCCCGGATCTGGTGGAATGTGCGCGCGCCGGCGATAACCGCCATACACGCTAGGTACACGGAGTTCTGGATCGGCGAGACCAAAAGATTGCTTACCACGATCTGGGCGATCTTGGATTTGGTCGAGGTGCGGCCGGCAAAGGTCTTCTGGAGAAGAGTTACAAGGATATGGCCGAGAGGTGCGGAGATAAGCGCGCCGTAGAAGGCCATTTTGGGAACACGGGGAGTCAGGTAGGAGCCATTCTTGCTGCGGTCGCGGGCGATCACAGAGGCCAGAACTTCCTGCAGGGCAGAGAGAGTTCCGGAGGTCAACATCTTGGTTCGCCTAGCATGTTTCGTCAGTACTCTGTTCCATCGTGAAGCGCGCGACTCGACCCAGGCGACAAAGTGGGCAGAAATCGCAAAAGATGGGGCAAGCTACATTGGATTGTCTTGGAGCTGCCTGAGATAGATCTAGAGGTGCATTAGTATCCGAGTAATCACGCAAAAAAGAGGCCATCGCGCTCAAAGTCAAAGCACACACGTACCTGCATGTATCCAGTGCCAGCTCCCCCGAAGCCACCAGTCTTGTGCTTAGTGGAGGAGGTCATGGAGGAGATCTCCTTTCGGATGACTTCTTTAGTGACGTCTGTCATTGCTACGATATGCTAGCTGTTTACTTGAAAATAAAAACAAAATTAGTTAGCGATGCGACTTTTGTTTATTCCTTTTTGACACGAGGAGGAGGAGGAGGAGGAGGAGGGATGAGCGGCGACGACGACGACGGCTGGGACAGCGGCTGGGTTGGGTTGTTGTCGTGTTCCCCCTGGCTGGGCTGGTTTGAGGCAAGCCATACAGAGAAGAGATGCAACGCGTGTTTATGGATGATGCTGGGCGCGAAAAAGGGACAAGTGGGAAAGGAGAATATGAAAAACCTTGTTTGGAAAACAACAACGATAAACGAAGAATTGAGCAATTAAGTGTTGGCCTGTAGCTCTGTAGGGTTGCTTAAGGTAATATGGAGAGATGAGGAGCACTAGGGAAGAAAAGTAAAAGGGAAGAAGGAGAGAGGAGGAGAGAGAGGCAAGCAAGTAAGAGAGGAGGGAGGCCCGCAGATGGAGAATAGAGCGCGATCGAGTGTGGGGTCGTGCAGCAATAAACACTGCGGTGGGTGGTGGTGGTGGTGGTGGGTGGAAAAGGTGGTTGGGCGAAGAGGAAGGGAGGGGATGAGAGGGGCTGAACTACTATTATCTCAGGGCCAATTCTCTCTCGCGCTCCTCACACAGTCTCTTGATCTTGTCCTGTTGCTGAGCTCGCAATTGAACCGAGGCTGTGCGAGAGCACAAGACGACAACCGAGTCAAATCGGATATTCAGCTGCTCGGATATCGGGGTTGCCCGCTCGTGAGAATTGAGTCTGTTTACCACTGCTCTACTTTTCCACCCACCGCCGTTCGTACCCGCCTGCCTTACTGCAATCCTGCAATATGACCTCCTTGAGCCTGAACTTGCTGCTTGCTACGAGCTGCGAGGCTACATGTAGTTACTCTTTTGAGGTCAGACTAATGTCCCAATTTCTCCTCTGCATATGTGTTTTCAGCTTGCCGCCTTTGAAGTGGGTGTAATCAAGTTTAAAATTAGACGCTCTTCCCTTCCCTTATTCCATCTCAACATCGGGACCCTAGAGTTGCACTATCAAAGTGCACCACCACATACCGAACAAGGCAGTACCTGGTGCGTGAAAAGGGAACCGAATCTAGGTATCCTAATGATCCTCGCCGATTCCCGTCCCGGCTTGCGCCTGGTTCCCCCAATCTATCTGTTGTAGTTATCCGTGTCTTGCAAGATCTACCAATTCCCCGATCTTCATTCGAGCCTCCAGTGGCTGAATAGTTTTTCTAGACTCGCTTTATGCCCGATCACTACTCTAATAATCAAGTAGAGTATGTACCCTACAGGCACTACCCTACATGATAGAGTAGAGTACATATGTGCATCTCCAAGTACCTACACTCCAGACCGCAGTAGGCCCTCCAGAGTACAAAGATCCCACGTATTACAGAACCCATACTCCATTCGACATACCTACCTACCCCATGGCGCATTTAACTACGACAGTGCGCGCGCAATGTCTCGTTTCATCTCCATCCCTCACCCCAGATCAGGGTGCGGCGGAGTTGTTTAGATCCGAAGACGACTTAAGCTGACACCTCTTGGCATCTTATCTTATCTTGATTCACAGTTTGGTTGGCTACTAAAAGCCCTAACCCTTGCTCGTATTCGCTGTTCCTGCACCCTAATAATGATAACTGCCTTACAAGTAGCTACCTGTCAGCTACTTACATTCCCACCCCCCTCCACCAACACGTTGGTGTTTTTTTTTCTTTCTCTCTCGTCTCCTTTCTTTCTTGCCGGTGCCGGAGTTTGGTGCTGGTATTAATACGACGGAATTATAACTTCCGCCTACTTTCCTGCCAGACACTACTACTACTAGTACTACTAGCTAGTACCGTCAGATACTACTCCTACGAAACACTGCTACCACCGCGGGCTCAGTGGTTTGATTGGACCTCCGTAGTAACCCACTTACCTCCTCACACGACCAACTCATCATTCCCTCCTTTCAACCCCACCGGCCACAATAATGCTCTTCTTTGCCTCCTTCCCCACGCCCAAGCCCCTCCAAGCCGAAATCCACCAGCTCCCCGCCCCACCGCTCTCAAAGCTCTTCACAACCACAAACAACACCCCGTCAAAGCGTCTCTCCACTTCATCCTCCATCTTCTCCTCACTCGGCTTCCAGAAGTCGCCGCCGGTCTCGCAGCAGCCCCAGTACGTGCCCAGAGCGATACCAAGGCTCTCGAAATGCACACACCAGAACGTGACGAGATACTATACTGCGGCCAGCACAAGTACGCCTGAGGAGCTCAAGTTGCAGGGCAAGGAGGAGGCGCATGAGTATTGCCAGAGATGCAGGAAGCAGCATTGGTTCCGCTGGGTCTATGTCTGCGATATGTGTTCGGCTAGGGCGTGCCATAATTGCAGACCGAAATGGGCAGAGAGGGCATGGGGGAGCTTTGGGAGTCTGGGTAATATGATGGAGGGCGTGGAGGAGCCAAGGGTTGACGTGAAGAGGGAGGAGAGGGTGGAGAGGAGTATGAGTGTGGGCGAGGAGAAGAAGTTGAAGAGGAGGTCGAAGAGGTGGAGTGGGAGCGCGTGGTTGAGGGAGTTGAAGGAGGGCACTTAGAACGACAGCGATTTACGAAACGATACAACGGGGACATGGAGCGGACGAACGAGCGGACGAATAGGACACATGGGATGCTACTTTTGAAATAGAGGATATGGCGTTACACTGGAAAGGGGACTGCTGGGATTTATTTATTTTCCTATTTTCCTTTTTTTTCATGGGTGGTTTTTCTTTTTTTCTTTTTCTTTTCCATATTCTTATTCTTAGACTCTATTCTGCCTATATCCTATTATTCCATAGAAAGAAAAATTCAATCTAGAGTGTTTCCCCCAAGGTTCCTTAGCATTAATTCCGCTATTGTCCCAATCCGGCCAGGTAGTACCAAGTAGTTGTGGCAAAAAGAAAGTCGAGTGACTGTTGGTGCACGTGCGATTTCTTATCGCACACTTTATCCCCCGCTATTTCGGCTCGGCTCGCATCCGCTCAACCTTATGTTTGGTTCCGCCAGGCGACGTTTTCGTGGTGTCAAATCCAGTGGAATTGGAGGGGCATGTCATGTGAAAAACCTTGTTTGAACCTGGTTATTGATTGATTGATTGGCTGATTCATCAGTTATTTGAGCTAGGAAGATTCTACGTGGTACTCAGGATAGCTGATTCTTCTCCGTGGGTGATCAAAAGCTGTTTTGCCGGTGGTGGTGCTTGCCATCTGAAATACCGAGTGATAATCTGTGATTATAATATTCCCGATATTATTATCCGTAATTGTCACTGCTACTACTGCAGTCATAATTGCCGAAGGGGATTATTGATGTATTTATCGTATATCGTAGTCTAGCTGTACCTTAAGTCGGTATTTAAATAGGAAATCCTTGAGCAGGATTTCTTAATCAATGGGGATCAGGATCCACTTAACTTCTGAGTTAATCGAGACTACATTTATCAGACGTTGATGATCATGAATGGTAGACATTTTAAAGAGCGCTTATCTGATGATATGGGTGAGCTAAAATTGTGCTGTGCTGATATCTGTAAGGAAGCTGCTATAAACTCCGGGAACGAGACTAAGACCCGAAACGTTGGTGATGGTCCCCCGAAGCACTAGCGCACCTAAATCGGTTAGGCGCCTCCGACTTGCCTTGGCGGCTAAGTATCATTTCCAGCCAAGTACACTCATGGGCGAGTGGTCTAGTGGTTCTCTACACGACTCGCCTGCTGGACACAGAGAGGTTGTGCCTGGTCTTCGACTGCAGAAGGTCCATGGTTCAATCCAGGGGTGGGAGTAGTAGATTTCGGTCCGGCGAAATCTGCAGTACTTTTTGTTCTTTTCTTTCATGAAAGAAAAGAAAAGGAATGAGGTGAGAGCTGCACAGATAATCATAATTTAGTGTGGTCCACGAGGTAAGATTATGGTCGCCTCGAGCTCCTCGAGGTTTAGATACCCATCGACGGCCATGTAGCTATGTCCTTTACCAACTTTCTCCCACGTGCACCACCACCAACCCATGTTACGGGCTTTTGTTCTTCCATTATCCCAAGGAGGCCCCCAAGGAGGCCCCCAGACAGGACCATACCTGTCTACACCCCGCCAAGTGCCCAAATACAAAACACCACGGTCAATACTTAATATATCTCTCGATCTCGCTATCTAGTGCGCCGGGCGTGTGAGCTCCTACGCACCTATGGCGGGCGGTTACTCCTCCGTCACTGTTGGTTTCTGGGGAGTATTTGTAGGTTAGTGAATATAGGAACTGACCGTAGCCAAGCAAGTAAGGATATCACTTGTGTCCTATGTAGTGAAGACACTTCCATATTTTTGGGGCGCTGTATGTTGGCTTTTATTTTGAGTTGCTTCGAGGACGTCATTCTGCTCTATTGGGAGCAAAATGCCATGATCATACATCCTGGCGCTCCCCACCGTCGCGGGTGTGTGTGGAGATCCTGTAGAGATGGGTCAGCTAGAGCTGCTAGACCTGTATATCTACCCGCTCTCCAAAGTCAAAGTGACACCCACTCTTAATAATACTAGTCAACACAGACCTCTCTGTGGGGTTATTTCAATCCAAGACTAGAGTATTTGCTGAGCTCCTAGACGCTGGTGGTATTTGTGGTATGGAGATGTACATATGTACTTACCTGACCTTTTATTCTCTCTGGTTCCTGATTGGGATTTGGGCAAAAGCTTCTTTTCGGCGGACTTCACTTTGGGTTTTTGCCTGCATGTTCTCGTTCAGGATTAGGATTGGAAACAATATAAAATCTGACAAGTATATTGAGCCAGCTTGGGGGGGAAAGCGGATCAGGCCTGTAAATGCGTTCGCAGATATTTTTGCTCCTAGTGTCATTGTTAGCAGTTTGACGGGCTTAGCGGCCCATATCAAGATACAATTCTTCCCAGTGGCTTAATGGCCATTTCTTTTGTTTACTCAACAGTTCTATATTGGCTGTAGCTGTGTCTAGTTATATGACTACGAGGAAGAGTCATAATATCTAGCAGTGACTATGGAAGACAGATAGTTTAGCGGTTCGCACAGGGGCTTGAAGAAGTCGGTTATGCATGCTCTGTTTAGAGACATCTCTGGTCAGTACGAAGTTTGATTAGTTTCAAATACTGGATCATGGAATAGCGTACAAAAATTGGTCCTCAACACCACCGAGTGATAATCTATGATCGTAAAACTTGGTACCGAATAGAAAAAGTGTTTCGCTCTGTACCATTAGGTACAAAAACATAATCTAAGAATGAGTGAAATACTCTACTATAATCATTTTATTGGCGCACTAGGTAGCGGTAACTATGCGAGTGATATCAGATGATCTAAAAAGTCGCAGTGCAATCTACGGGGCGTGCCATCTAGGGATCTAGGTAATAACGGTGCAATGCATTTAAAGAGCCTCGACTAGGATCAATATAAATACGTTGTAAATATATTTACGGGTTGATCGCCGTGTACAGAATCGACCAAGCATCATGGGAGTGGGGCGTCCCTCTATGACAATAAGCCGAACACACCGGGCCGGGCAAGATTAGGCCAGCTTATACATGCCAGTGAATACTGCCATGGAATTTATAAAATAAATTTATCGATTAAGTTATCTGTTCTTTCCTATCTCTTCATGTAGTGAAATCACTACATGCCTCAAAAAAAAAAGATCAGAAACAGCACCAATCCGAAGCAAATCTCTCGAGACACGTTCTCTAACGAGTTATGGAGTAAATATATTCACGTGCAACCACTTCCCAATCATGACTTATCGATTTGTCATTTTCATCTGTTGACAAAATGGAATAGCACCACCTATTGATGGACCTGTAAACCTTCTGTTCTCATTTCCCCCTTGCTCTTCCTGTGATTCCCCTTTGGGCAAGGGAGTAGACATATGTCGCCGACCCCTATAGTTTTGACGTTTTGACTGCAAAATAGTCATTTCAGCAAGGGGTCCAGATGCAGGGCGAGGTAAATGTTCCTTCAATTCGGATACCACAGAGTTCTGATCACCAACACTTGACTCATCCTGTGATGCATTATTATCGTCGGGGCAGGGGATCTCAGGATAAATGGGTTCCTTTGGAACGTCTTCCTGATTTACCAAAAGCCCGGGAATTTCACGAGGAACAAACGGTGAGGCTGAGGCCTTTAGACGACTTTCAACCTTTGTCCCACTCTTTTCCAAACCCCCATTCTCTTTATCATGCTCTGGATGCAACTCACTCTGGGAATCCATTTTCTCCTCAAGGCGTGGTTCTTTACG